CTGGCCATCTCGTACTGCTGATACAGCATTGACTTGCTGTCCTCCAGCGCCATCCACTCGGTTCGGAAAGTCGCCCTGGCATCGTCAAAAGCCTTGAGAAAATTCTCGTTCTTTGGCATGTTAAAAGACACCATGGAGTGTCGCATAGAAACAAAACTGGCTTTTGTACCATTCTCCAGACAAATGGTCAGTTCACCATCTTCGAGTGTGAGTATGCCCTCGACGTGATCAACATGCATACTGAAATTTGGTCTGTACTCGAACGAACAGGGGGTCCGTCCGCAATGTTCGTCGAACACCCTGAGAGCTGATAGGCTCGTCATCCATTCCACGTCCCTGAGGGCCTGCTGGGAAGTAGTGGATAACATTGTGATTGCTTGCTTCTGGCTTACCTTTCGTTTCAAACTTACGCTTTGCGACACTTTCCTAACGCAAGATAAGAAGACACGTATTATTTTAAGTTATAGGACCCCCTCTTAGCAAGTAAAGTAAGGCTTGACCATTCCTTTCGCAGGCTCCCAAAAAAGTTGTATTATATTTTTTCCTTCGACCCGCGTCGATTGTTCCACAAGCTTTTACACCCATCAAGACATTCCCAAAACACTATACTTTATCCCTACGTGCGAAGCGGAAGTGCTGAAAGCGTTTTTAACCCACGCGTCGCGCGGTGGGGGGGTTGGCGGATTGGGTTTGCAAGCCTTCCCCAGCGCACACCTGGCAGCCAGCCGCAAAAGATTAAATGATATAATAGGGCAAAATCAACACCGCACGACCACAAGTCTAGGCTATTCTCGCCGCAAGCTCAAATAAAAAGGCCCCCAATTGGGTGTTGCGGTGTGTGGGGGCATTGCTTTGAGGGTCCCGCGTTCTGAAACCGCAAAAAGTGGGATATTGCTCTAGGTTCTGTCCCCTGAGCCGCCCCTCTTCGTATGAAAGGCCAGGCTTTGCTTGCCGCGGGTCATGGGTTTCAACACTTCCCTTCTCTCAGAGCTCGGTGTTCCCGGGGTCGTTCATTGTTTTTTACTGGGATAGAACATACCGCTGCCGCGTGTAGCGTGTTGCGCTGCAATGCCCCATTGCGCCGCAGCGGTGGCACCGCGTTTTCCCTGGAGGGGGTAAGTAATTTTTTTTTTCTGAACTGTCTGAAAACTTGGGTCTCCCTCTTCCCTGGGGTCGCCTATGCTGGGATTCTCGCCTCCCCAATCCCCCCCGGCAGCCTGTAAAATTCACAGCCTGCAGCACACCCTCCCATCCCATTCCTCTTCTTCAACGGACGTGGCTTCGGATCAAATAGAAAGAATCCGGGCAATGAGGTTCCCCCTTGCGTGCCGGGGGTCAAATCTTGTTTTGTGGGCAGTGGGGGCGGGTCGCGTTTGGTTGCCAACAACTCTGCGGGTGAGGCTTTCAACAAGTATTCAGATGCCCCCTCAAAAGTCCTGATATTTTATTTCAGACCAAAGCCCCCTTTTTTTGTGAATCTATTTCGAATTTTTTCAAACTGGCCATTCCCTTCATGAGGCAGCGCCGCCGGCAGATTGCTGAGTTTTTCTCTCAGCACCCAAATGTCGTTTGCTGTTTTGCCCGGCATCCGCGTAGGTAGATTATCGGTTTATGGAGCAGTTTGGAAAGCTGGAGTGAGAGCGAAGCTGCCACACTCTGGTGTTTTCTGCTGTTGCTGCAATTCTCTTAAGTCCATCACTGATTTCCAGCGTTTTATCTTAGCATATCTTTGGCGGGGCCCTGGCCCCATCCAATTGACCCGAAGTTGTAAATAGTTTCCGTCGCTCTGCAAGTGGTTTTTCTAACTCCTAAATTCGTTTCTTTCAACTCCACGTGATTTAGTTGATTCTATATTTGGTGTGTCTCTTTTTGCGGGCCCATAGATTAAACGTTAGCGCCTTCTTGTATCTATATTTTTTTGTCTATCTGTTCTGCCCTGGCCAACTCGAACTGCTGGTATGGCATCAACCCACGCTCTTCAAGGCCCGCCAGCACAGTTAGAAAGGTTTCGTCTGCCTCTTCAAAAGTGCACAAAAGTATTAGCTGGTCCATCTTGCCTTGCAGGCCAAGGCAACACTACCTGACGTTAATAAGAAGGTTGTGGGAGGAACCATCTTGACAATCGGAGGAACTGGGGGTTGGGCGATCACTATCCTACGAGGTGAAAGGTGTAGCAGGCCTTCGTGCCAGGTTTGTTGACCCTAAACTTTATCCGCGCTGGCCCTTGGTGATGCCGGCCACCTCATCGCGGCACCAAGGTCCAGTACCCCGTATTGTCGGGGGAAGCCAAGCGCCAGCAACGTTCGCCACCTGGAGAACTTTGCGGCGCCCGGCTTACGGCATCACACAGT